GTAAATTTTAGGGCACAAGATCTTAGGAATTAAGTGGGTCAAGAATTTGGGCTACAAGAATTTTCCTAATTTGATTTAAGTGAATTAGACTAAAATAAACAAAACTTAGACTAACAAAATTTTGGACTCTAAATAACAAATATTGTACTTAAAACTATCAAAATTTGGATTTAAAAATGATAAGGAATTTGATACTTTAAAATATTCGAGATTGGACTCGATTTGAATAGTTTTAAATTTGTTTTACAATGGCTAGATGAACACCCCTTTCATCTTAAAATTTGGGGTTAAAATTTAGCGACACATTTTTCAAGAAGAATAACTTTATATCATTTAAAATTCCCGGTCTCTACAATCAGTTTTCAACTGTAATTTCTGGACAGCCTCCTCGTACACTACATTCTCACAACTGTCACTGTCAATGATCATTTTGCAGACTTTATCAGCAACTGTGCAGGTTGTGTAAAAAAAATTGGTTCTCAACCAATCGTCTCTTGAATCGCCCCTAAGAGTCAGTAAACTCTTGTGAACGACCAAAGTCTCATGGCCATCTCCATACAGCACATCATCAATGTCATCATCGTCATACACAGCATCCCCAATCTCCTCAGTCTCATCTACCAAGTCCTCCTCAATCAACAATTATTCCCCTTTTAACTAGCAAGCTTCCTGCAATCAGTAGCCCTATGCCCTTATTCACCACAATGAAAACACTTAATAGAAGTATATGCTGGACGGGATGGAAATCCTGAGGGCGAACTGGTCGATTGTTTTGATCGTTCCTAATCATTGGCCTCATGTTTTGCTGTTTTTCAACAACAAGTACACGCTGATATGCTTTCGAAACTGTCCACAGTAAGTGAAGACTGAGGACATCCTACAGGGGCTAGCACAACCCTCCCAAGTACCGTGTCACCATCTGTTCCTCCGTCTCAGATAAATCATTTCGGGCGACCAACTGATAAAACTCCTCTATGTAATCATCGACCGATCTCACACCCTGCCTCAACATATGAAGTCGCTAAAATAAGGTTTGAGTATAACCAAAGGGAAGAAAGTGACCCTTCATCTTTTTCTTCATCTTCTCCCAATCAGCCATATTGGGCTTGCCCTGCCTGTCCCATGAACGTCTCACTGTTCCCACCACGCAAACGCCCTGCCCTTAAGTTTGATGGCGACTAATTTCACTTTCACACGATCTGGGACTTCCTTGTAGTCAAAGATACGTTTCACTTCATTTATCCAGTCGATAAATCCCTCAGCCTGTAACGTACCAGAAAATTCGGGCAGATACACCGAAAAATCGAGATCCTATGATGCTCCTCCCAACCACAGTGCTCCCAAAATAGATCACGTTGGTGGTAGGGATTTTCAAAAACAGCAGAATCAAACTCAAGATCGGAGACCTCACGGACCTCCAAATCGCGTACCGCTAGGTGCTGGGTTAACTCTACAACTTGACTCTACAAATCTTCAATCGTGACATCCTGAATATTATAATCACGATATTGGACTTTCTCAATCGGAACCTGCCCACAACGACCACGACCACCAGCCATTGAAACTGATGAAATCTCACCCAGGAAGAAGATGTTGAAGCTCTTATACTAACTAACGCAGGGCAGAATACTGATTATTCTGCATGCTAGTTTTATCAGCAAATTCACAGGAAGAACACAAGATTAAATCCAAAAACACAGAGAAAACATCTCTGAAGTTTAAACAACTTTATTATATCACGCAATAATCAAAATAAGTCCACAAATCGGACTTTATAGCAAAAATTCGAATTTTACCAAAAATGGAAAAATTACGAAAATCATGCCAAACAAAAATACGGACTGCGAGAAATCTAGCCCAAATCAGGTTAAAAATCATTTCCTAACATGCAATCGAAATATTACAAAAATAGCAAAATTTAACTAAAAATAGCAATTCGAAAGGGAAAACAGCAGAATTTGAGGTTGAAAACGGCTCACACCAAGCTAAGCTGGGTGTCCACGACGTGCGCGCAGAAACAAACTTTCCGAATTGTGGTCATAATCGCGATTCTGATAACCGTAGCCAAAGTTATGGCCAAATTATCGAAACCCGACTCAATTACCAAAGTTACGTGATTACTTACTATCCTTGCTTCGATCTACCAACTCGTGATACTTTAGAGTCATTAACGTGTTATCCGACAACTCAGTATCTGACTCGAACCCTCCTGCATCATCTGTACATATCAAATTATCGTTCCAGTATTTACTCATCTAGGCCACAGTTCATTTCATCTATTTAATTCCATTCAGAGGCAATCACTTGTGCAATTTTTAATTTTGATACAGAACCTTTGTACTCGAGTCAAACAATTAAATGCATATACAAGTTAAATAAACCACATTCATTATATATGGTTTGACAAGATTTTTAACTAATACAGTAATACTGAATAGCCGAACAGGTATGCTGATGGATTTCGATTAAGTGCTCTTCATCGGGTTCATATTCGTAGTCCAACAGAAAATTGCTCACAGAAAAATGAAAAATATAAATCACCCATAGAAAATCGCCAAACAGCCAAACTCATGAAAAAACACAAACCCACTAAAATTACCAGAAAAAACGTGAGCAAGAGAGGTGGTTGTTACCGGCTTACAGAGATGGAGATGAGTGAAAATGTGAAACCCTAGGAAGTGCCAAAATAGGTATTGGATTTGGAGGAGAAAAGAATTTTTAGATTTGGGAATTCCTATGTCGATTTGGTCTGTTTGGAGGAGAAAAACTTTGAATTAATCTATTTGTACATTTCCTAGATGATATTGTCAAAATTTGTGTCATAGATTGCTTAAAGTATTGTTAAAATTAATATGGGTTGTGCTAGATGTACACTCAATCCATTACCTAATGGATTACACTCTCCTCACACGGAGGGGGGCCCACGAATATTTATTGTGTATGGGCCCCCCCTCCATGTGAGAGGGGTGCAATCCATTCTGTACATTTAGACTAATTCAATTAATATATCAAAAATTGTCAACTTACAAGAATGTCATTTATGATGTCAAAGTTAGTGTACATTTAGCAAGATTGAAAAACTTTGTGCTTTGTATTTTGTAGTATAGCTGTGTGCTTATTGTAAAATAGTTAATAGTGAAGACGAAAGAATGAAATTAAAAATTCCAACCATTTATGAATTGAAAATAAAAAATAAAAAAATGTGCGCTGCGCTCAAGCTCAAGGCAAAGCTTTTTTGCCACGCTTCGCGTCTAAACGCGCTTTTTAGAACATTGAATTAATCATATAAGACTCAGAATCTACAGCCAGTAGTGCTATTGAGTTTATGAATCTAAATGAAATCTTCAATAATCATCCAATACTATCATGAGAATCATATTTAACATAGATACCTGAATACATAAAAATTTGGACAATGCATCTTTTAAGTCATGAAAATAATTTTTATATAGACAGATGAGGTGTAAAACATAAGCTTAATCAAACAGAATGTGCGGAGGCAGTTCTAAAAGTGCGTAGGTGGTGCGATCGCACAAGGCCTTAGCATTGTAGGGAAACTAAAAATAATTATTATATATAATAATTTTAAAATTTAAATTTTTTATTATTATGTTAGTTAAATGGCACAATATTTATGAAGAAAAGAGATAGAAGTAGAAAAATAATGATTCTTATTTTTATCATTATTGTCCTATTTGTGTATCATATGAAGACATTTTATTAGAGTAAGGGAAAGGATTGACATGGTTTAGGCACTTTTGTAAGTAATTTCAGTATGTTGTGCTTAATTATTTTTCTTTATGAATTATTTCTTTATTAAATGTAGAGATTTGACTTGGTATGATATGCAATTAATTGTATAAGATACTAAAGCAAAACATAATGTGAATACTTAATTATAATTTTTTTGAATATAATTGTCTTAGATAGTGTCTTTGCCTTAAATAATGTAAGGGAAAGAAGGAAAAATTATCCTGCTTTAAATATTATTTTCTTGATTCCAAAAAATCTGAGATATGAAAAATTGTATTCTTTTGAAGTTTGATATGTAAACAAATATTTCAATGTCATATTTTCGTAATGAAAATAATATTATTGGAAATTATTATTTTTTTGTTGAGATATTTTTTTAATTACATGAAAGGGGTTCCATTTTAAAATGTCACACAGATCACCCAAAATCTCATGGTCGACCCTACATATATGTACGTAGATACTATATTTTAAAAATCGGCTCGGATATCGATCTGAAACGGAATAAGGGTCAAATGGTCGAACCGGATACCAAAACTAAGTAAATAAATGCACCTAAATAATAAAAATATTATAGCAAAATTTTTAATTTTTTTTTTTTAATTTTAATAACGTTGATTATATATGTGTCTGCTTATGTACGTATATATTTAACTCAAATTAACAACACACAAATACTAACATTGATAAATTGAATCAATTGGCTTCAAAGATGTAGAATCGATCGGAAGAGTCGCGATGTGAAAGTTGGGGGAGGTGTTTACTATGTTGCTTGCTGAACCCATATATCTATACTAGTAATTAAACCGGAAATTTCCTTGGTATTAATAAATTAATTTTCAATTAAATAGCATGCAATGAAGCAATAATTGGTATTTTTTGGAGTATTTTATTGTAACATCTTAAACCAACGGTGAATGAACAACACCAATGCCATAAGATATTTTATAACCATCCGATTCCAAATTCATAGCTGATTCTCGTTGGAGTTGGCGACTGATCATTTTCCGTTGCTAAAATGTGCTCATTCAAAGTACACAAGGACTAAAAGCCTTTTTCCATGTAAGAGAGGTTAAACAAGAAGAAACTAGAATGAATAAAGTGCTCTTTATTTGAGAGAAAATGAACCTAACAAGTGATCCTTACATCACATTACAATAATACAAGCAAACTGGTAATATAAATCACACAGTAAAGTATTTTACTAAGCAATAGAAATCCAAGTTAATACGATCTACTTTGCATGATCAATTGCGTTTAAGCAACAAAAACAAGTTGAGAGCTATTCCTGACGCTATATCCTGATGTGCCTCCCCAACTTTGTTTGTGAAGAGGTGGAAAAGTTCATCTAAAATCTCAGCTCCAAATTGTTCCCTGATTAGTTCCTCAGTAATAGCTCGAATGCTCAATGACACATCTTGTGGCCTATGGCGAGTGTCCGGTGCTATCACCGTGGACAAACTCTTCATTCTTTCTATGCTAAAACATCCATTTTTCTGTATTACTGCTTCTAGTTCTTGAGGACATGTGCAGTAAGCTGGTATGTTAAATGAATCCACCCTCTCTTCATCAATAAGTCCCTGCACAAAATTCACACCACAAATTAAGGCATTTTGTAACATTTGGTATGAGAAAAACATGGAAGATATAATAATTGGTTTGGATTCATGTTTCTAACCTTTTTGGAGAGTTCCATGAGAGAAGATCCCAAGAGATCAAACATCATGTTAAAAATGACTTGAGCATGAGGGGTTCCGTTTGGGCGAGCCGGGACAACAATGGCAACAAGGCCACCGGGTACTACCTCTTCAGCTCTTGCACTCAGAAAGTTGGTCATATCCATGGCATGCTGCATTGAGTATGCCTTAGTTACTTCTTCTCTAGCATGAATGTGATAAATTCTCCCATTGTTCCAAGCAAGTGACTTTCTATTTGTAACCTCTTTGGGCACTTGAGATAGCCAGTGGAGAGAATACGAAGAGTGCACAAAGTGGAGAGATCCTCGTAGAAACAAGCGAGAATAGAAGGATCCTGGAACACCTGAAGCATAATATTCCCTATTGGGTGGGAGACACTTGAAGAGGGTATTGAAATCATTCATTGAATGGTCATTGAAGAAAACTTGAAATTCTGGGATTTTGGAATTGGGTTCATGGGTTTTGTACTTGAGTTTAACAGATTCAAGAATGTTTTGAACAGCAAAGAAAGTGTTAGGTCCAACTGAACAACCTAAATCAGCAACCGAAAATGTCTCTAAGTTTTCTGGTTGAAGCTTCTTAGCAATGGCACCTTGAATGTGTGATTTGGCTGCATCAATAACACCTCTCTACACAAAACAAACACGCATTAAAATGAGGAATTAAACACGCTGACACACACACACTCATTTATATCTAGATATATATATTTACCTGGTATGATGAGTTTTTGGTGTAGCTTTTAAGGCCGTTTCCACCAGTCATTGCATGTCCATTCAAGGAATTATAGCTATTCTCTGCCACCATCTCTCTCTCTCTCCTGATCTCTCTGTCTCTGTATATAATTATGTTGTGTATGACACACATATATATACATGCAGAAGTCAGCACTGTGGTGTAATGGTCAAAATTAGCATGCCAAGTTCTACGAGGCAAATAGTGAGTCATCAGCAACACCATTACTTTAAGACCAGAATTTGGACACTAATGACATATAAATTCCAAAATCGATTAGTTAACTAATTAATTGAACAAGTCAGAACATTTTAGGAATAAAATGGACTTACTGTTGTCAGCATTCGCGTGACCCAGAGAGAGAGCTTCAATTTCTTGGTCAAAAAGATCAAAAAAATGCTGATAAGCGCGTTTTTATGTGTTTTAACTTTTAGGTTATGTTTATATACGAATGACGTTGATTACACATTCTTGTTGCAGTCTCGTGACCAATTTAAATAAGGGGGCGTTTATTTCTGTTTTTGAAAATTGATTCTCAAATCAATTCTCATTTTCAACCACACATTTTTCAATAAAATAATATTTTCCATCACATCAATAATTTTTTCTTCTTTTCAACCACACATTTTCCATCATAACACTATTCAAAAATCTTCAACCACACATTTTTCAATAAAATAATATTTTCCATCACATCAATAATTGTTTTTTCTTTTTCAACCACATATTTCCCATCATATCACTATTCAAAAATCAATTCTTCCTCCAAAAATCCCTACCAAACAAGCATTAAAAAACCAGTTGCCTAAGATTAGGTATTTCAGAGAATTTACACGTTCTAAAAGTTGAAATTGACTGCTTCAAATAAAGGTACAGATTTTCTTTGGAGTACAAGTAAAAATAAAGATGTAAAAGTTGTTGGATAAATTAGTATATGAATTATATTCTATTATAAAAATATGTGCATACAGTTAAAGTTTTAGAAGAAGATAAAGAAAATGTTTTTCAACCGTAACCTCCTTAACTGAGGTCACTAGCTTTATACAATGGTGAAAATTTACAAAGGACTAATCTAGAATGTATAGCTGTGAATTTGTTCCTAAAATCATGGATCATGTCTAGAATATCTTGTAACAAATTAGTGTAGGACCACAAGCTTGTGAGAAACAGAATTCACAGCAATGCAAGTGAGCTGATGACTAGGACCATTTAGTTATTTTCAGTTAACATACAATTTTTACTTCCAGTTCCTTGGCTATTACTTTGTTTCTGATGAAATGTACGTCTAGTTCTATGTACTTTGTCCTGGCATGGTATACTGGATTTGCTGCTAAGGCTCCAGCACCTATGTTATCACACCAAATAGTTGGAGTTTCAATTAGAGGTAATTCCAGTTCCTGAAAGAGTGACTGAATCCATGATATTTCTGAAGCGATTGAGGCAAGTGCCCTATACTCTGATTCAGTGCTTGAACGTGCCACGACTTGCTGTTTCTTTGAAGACCAATTGACTAGATTCTCACCTAGATAGACGCAGTAACCAGTGGTTGAACGTCTGTCATCAGGGCGAGACGCCCAATCTGCATCTGAGTATCCATTAAGAGTGAGTCTGTCACTTCTTTGAATCCAAAGTCCATGATTTATCGTCCCTTTAAGGTACCTCAATACCCTCTTCAATGCTTGCCAGTGTAGTGAAGTTGGGGCTTGCAAGAATTGGCTCAATTTATTGACGGCAAAAGTGATGTCTGGTATGGTATATTGGAGGTACTGCAGCCCTCCTACAGCACTCCTGTAGGCTGTGGGATTTCTCAAGACTTCTCCTTCTCCTTTTGACATTCTTTGCCTGCAGGTATAGGTATGATGCAAGGTTTTACATTTTGCATTTCAAACCTTTCTAGTAAATCAGCAATATATTTCACTTGTGTGAGGTGAATTCCAGAATCATGCCATAACACCTCAACCCTAAGGAAGTGATGCAGCCTTCCCATGTCTTTCAATGCGAAGGTAGTGTTTAGATTATCTATGAAATTCTGTAGCAAGATTCTGTCATTACCTGTTCTTACAATGTTATCCACATAAATTAGTGCAGAGATTATTTGATCTTTATTCTTGAGATAGAAGAGTAAAGTGTCAGCCACTGACTGCTTGAGTTTCCAACCCAAAAATGTAGTTTTCAGCTTCTTATTCTAGGCTCTAGGTGCTTGTTTCAATCCATAAAGTGCTTTGCTTAACTTGCAGACATGGTTGGGTTTTGACTCATCTACAAAGCCTTCAGGTTGAGTCATAAACATAAAAACTGTCTCCTTCAGCTCTCCATTGAGAAAGGCGTTGTTGATGTCCACCTGCCTAATTGTCCACCCCTTTGTTACTGCCAGGGTGAGTATAATTCTGAGTGTTGATGGCTTGATCACAGGGCTAAAAGTCTCATAGAAATCAACACCAGGAGTTTGATAGAACCCCTTTGCTACTAATCTGGCTTTGAACCTTTGTATTGAGCCATATGTGTTTTGCTTAAGTTTGAAAACCCATTTATTGCTAACAATGTTGTATGTTGGCAATGAAGGTACAAGCTCCCAGGTTTTAGCTTTTGTCAAGGCATCAAATTCTTCTTTAATTGCCTTCTTCCAATCAGCATTTAACAAGGCTTCAGTTACACTCCTAGGTTCTGATGGATTCTCTGTCAATTTCCCAAGATAAATTTTTTGGCTTGAATATTCCAGCTTTTCGTCTAGTAATCATGGGATGTTAAGCTACATTTTCTACTCTATGTTGATCAATTATTCTGTCATCATCATCATTTGATTGCAGGGGTTCTTCATCAACTTGTGGCATATTTTGCTCTGGCACTTCAAGTTCTATTTCACCAGCTTCTTCAGTGTTATCAAGAGTATTGTGCTGATTGTCATTTAAGTCTGAAGATGAGTCATGGTCTACTTGAGTAGCTTCAAGATAAGTAGTATTAGCAGGATCCCTAACAGACACTATAGGATCAGAGGGAAAATGAAAATATAAAGCTGTGATTTCTGATGCTATTGGTTCTGAGTGATTTTTGGTGACAATTGTTGGTTAGAATGGGAATTCCAACTCATTAAATACCACATGCCTAGAGATATATAGTCTTCCAGTTTTACTTAGGCATTTGTATCCTTTGTGAGACTCACTATAGCCTATAAAAGTACATTTGGTAGAATGAAAGTTGAATTTCTGATTTTGATAGGGTCTTAGACACGGGTAACACGCACAGCCAAAAACCTTTAAGGTCTGATAGTCTGGCCCTTTTTTGAATAGAGCTTCATAAGGTGATTGTCTTTGGAGTGTAGGTGTTGGCAGCCTATTTATAAGAAAGGTTGCTGTCTAGAAAGTTTCTCACCAATATTTTAGAGGTAGTTTGGCTTGAGCTAAAAGTGTTAAACCAGTTTCTATGATGTGTTTGTGCTTCCTCTCCACCCTTCCATTTTGAGCTGAGGTATAGGGACAAGGGTGCCTAAATTCTATCCCTTCTTGGTTCAAGAAATTTGAGAATGCTCTATACTCCCCACCCCAGTCAGCTTGGAGAGTTTTGATCTTACAATTCAATTTGTTTTCAATGAGTTTTTTGAACTGAATGAATATGTTTAAGGCTTCAGATTTTTGTTTTAGTGGGTAAATCCAAGTATACCTGCTGAAATCATCAAGGAATGAAATATAATACTTGAAACCTGAGGTGGATAAGATAGGAGCTTGTCTCCATATGTCAGTAAAAACAAGTTCAAGTGAAGCTTTAGTATGAGAAGAAGATAAAGAGAAAGGCAATAGATGGGATTTGCCAAGCTGACAAGCATTGCAAAACAATTTAATTTCATTCTCTTTAACTTTGACATTACATGATTTAAGTACTAGATTCATTACTTGGCTAGAGGGGTGACCAAGCCTCTTGTGCCATACATCAGATGAAGACTCAAGACTAGAAACGACAGACGACAAGTTGCAGGAAAATTTATTAGTGGAAACTGACTCTTGGCTAATATTCTTTATGGTTTGCTGAGGGAAATCCAGCTGATACAACACATATCTAAGCGTCCCTTGCATTATCACTTCCCTCGTTGATTTGTCCTTTAGAAAAAAACAATCAGGATGAAATTCCATGTAAACATTGTTATGAGATGTCAGTTTAGAAACACTGATAAGATTTTTCTTAATCTCAAGCACAAGAAGGAGTTTATTCAGGATTAAAGACTTGTTATTCAAAGCTGAAATGTGTGAGGTGCCAAAGTGAGAGATATGTAACTTACTTCCATCTCCCACCATGATTTTCTCCTTACCAGCATATTCATTGATGGAAGCAAGGTTTCCTCTGTCTGATGTGATATGGCTACTAGCTCTAGTGTCAACATACCACGCAGGGTCATTCACAATGCTGGGAGAAGCGATAAAGGCTGCAGGTGAGGTATTGAAGCCTGTCCTTTGGTTTGGTGGATTTCCAGTGTATCTATCATCATACCTGAAATTAAATATGTTGGCTTTGTGACCAATTCTTCCACACACTTGGCAAATTGGTAGTCTGTCATTTCCACTATATAGGCGACCTCCTCTATTCCTGCCTCTTCTCCCACTTCTATGGCTGTTGAAGTTGGTGAATCTTCCACCATAGCCTGGTTTATAAGGCTTGGAGCCATGATAGTTAGAACCAGACCTCTGGGAGAAGTTTTCTGAGGTTTGGTTGATATTAATTTCTGCTATATCATTTCTCAACAAGTTGAGATGTTCAAGCCTACTCTCATATATCATAAGTATAGATTGCAATTCTTCCTAGGATATATGGTCTATGCCATTAATCTGAGCCACAATTGGAGTATACTCTTCGTCTAAACCGGCCAGAACTTAAGTGACTAAATCAGCATGAGCAATTGTCTTTCCAGCAATTTCAAGGTTATCAACCAACTACTTTACCTTGTTAAGATACTGATCAATATTCATTGATCCTTTCCTTGATTTCTAAAGTTCACTTATAAGGAAAGTGATTCTTGACTTGTTTTGTATTCCAAAACTTTC